GAAATGATCAAGTAAGTAGTCAAGGCTGTCAAAAGGTGGGTCTAGAAGCAAAGAGGACTCAATTCAGATGCTATACATAGGTAGGTGTCCAGTGCCACTGGAGATGCTGCCTTAAGATAAGTCTGACCGTAATTTACACAAGAGTTGATGCAGTCTCCCAGTCCTATGCACAGAGACAGTCTGCTCAGTAGCTCTGCCAAAAATCCCTTCCTGTAATCTTTTCTAAACCTTTCAAGGTCTGTGCAGTTGGTTGCATGGAGCATAAGCAAGGCAATCAAGAAACAGAATCCCTGTGCCAGAAGCATCTTCAGCTGCTTCACTGGGCCTCTTAAAGGCTTCTTTTTTGCTGTTAGTTTGGATTTTTTCATGCACAAGAGCTTTGTGGATTAGACCCAGATGTACTGGAAAGTTTGGTGACGTCTTCAGAGTGTTTTTGTGTTGGCTGATTGTCACCTGAAACCACTGTATTTCCGCAGAAGCATATATTAACTGGTAATTGCATATTAGTAAAACTAACTCAGCCATTCAATTATTATTCTGTGGGAAATTCTATAGCTGTGAAAACATCTATTATTGTTTTCCCCATTGTTGAGAGAGTACTCATAAAGCCAGCTGTCATTTATTTCTGTTGCAAGCAATTGAGAGATGAGATGGTTGTTTAAAAGCACGAATTAGAGGAGATGACATGAACCTCCCTTGGCAATATATTCACAAAGATATCATTTCAGGAGTTCAGAGCTTGTTCTGGAGCACATTTGCCAAGGAGCAAGGTAGAGCTTCATCTGCTGGAAGTGTTGACAATACAATCCTTGAACTTCTCCTGACTTGTAAATGTGTTATCCCATGAGCAGTTTGTTTAGCAAGAGTCCAGATCTAGATATGAGCTGAGGAAGAGATCTGTGGGTTTGTCACCTTCCTTCCTGTTCTGTGGCATCCTCAGCTCTGATATTTACCTCTCATTGAAGCCAGTTCCATACATAAGTTACCAGTATTTTTTATTATCTGCATAAAATACACTACATCTGAATATCTGTATGCATCAAACACTTGAGCAGCTTGATCCACTTGAATTGCATAGGAAGCGAATTTGATGCCATTCAGGAGTTCCAAGGGCCAGGTATGTGCAAGTTTTTTGCCCCATCCCTGGAAGTGTCCAAGACTAGGCTGGATGAGGCTCTGAGGAAGCTGGGCCAGTGGAAGGTGTCCCTGCCCATGGTAGGGGGTGGAACTGGATGATCTTTAAGGTCTTTTCCAACCCAAACCATTTTGTGGTTTTGTAATCTGCCAAGTCTCTGCTGTGGGGTTCAGAGCAGCACCATGACATAGCCTGTGTATCCAGATGAGAGTGGCCCCCTGCTCCTTGCCTTTCTCAAGCATTAGAACAGGTCTCCTTTGGTAATTTGTCCTTTTAGTACAGTTCTGGTTGGAAGCAACAGCAATCACAGGACCAAAGAGCAAAAGCTGCGCAGTCTAGAAGCCCTCAGGATTGTTTTCCTGCTGATACTTGCTATTGATAATGATTTTGTGGCAATCACCTCTAAACTATGCTGGAGATAGTCAGGTTTTTCACTGGTTAATATATTTTTTCATCTGGATGGAGTTGTCTGAGCTGTCACACATTCTACATAACTGAGTTCCTTATTACTGTGCCTGTCATTCATGTCCCTGCAATCCCCTTTTTTCTTGCCAAATCACTGAATGAAAAACCCAATTCACTTTGGCACTAAGAGCTCCCCTAATACTATTTCAGTGAAGGAGCAATGTTGGGGGTCATTTTTCTACTGAGTTCTTGCTGAAAGTAAAAGTTCTGAGGCTTTGTGTGCAGTCTCTGCAGAGCTGCCCTCACAGTTGTGCTAAAATTCATCACAGCACACCTATTGCTGGAGTGTAAAAGTACCACATTGTTGAGGACATCTCTCCATCTGCCAGCCGTGCTAGTGAACATCTGCAACAGCACCACTGGGAATACTTCAGGAGGAGGGAAGGGTTTAAAAAAATAAAATATATTTCATAATATTAAAAATAAAAAATCCAGTTTATGTGAACAATGAAATAGTTTGCCCCAAATGAAATTTGTGAAAATTCACTGCAGGTGATTATTTTTTCACCAGAGTAAAAAATATTTGATGGAAAAGTTTTGTGTCTGTAATTCTGAGTCTTATACATCAGTATAAATAACTCAACAAACATTACTTAAACTACCTGATGGATATAAATGGATAGAATAAAACATAGTCCCATCTACATGTGACAGATAGAAAGGACTGATCTGATTTACCACTTCCATTGATTTACACAGATAAATCATTGAACCCTTTTTAGGACTGGGGCACCAAAAATATAGAAATGAAACCTGCTGGTTCATGAGCAATTAGAAAACTTCAAGGAAAGGTCTTAATAGAAAGCTCTTCAAGAAAGAAAAAAAAAAAAAACACCAAAAAAAAAGTGCATAAAGTTCACTATGATTGTAAATTTCACTATAATTGTAAAGTCCACAATAATTGTCTCCCTGACCCTGGGTCAACAAAAACCCAGTATGCTACCAAAGGTCAATCAAACTCTCTTCTAGACTGGATTGCCCTTCTAACACCCTGACCCCCCAAATTCAAAATCTTCATCCTAAATCACCCCTCCCAAAAATATTTGTTTAAATACTTCCATGGTTTCCATAAATCACAGAAATGCAGTAGCTGACCAACAGCATCAGCACGTGATATCTTTCAATGAAAAACTCCCAACACATGATCTGCCTAATTCCTAAAGCTGCTTTGAAAAGCTAATCTTTGGTGTTTTGCCCTTCAAAAAGGTTTGTTATGGATCTGGTGACAGACACAACGCAGTGGTATGAGAAATGGTACTACCCTCTAGTTTATTTGGAGTTTGCTAATGATCTGTGCCCACTGGAAAAAGAAGAGGATGTATCCACACCCCAGGTGGCCCCAGGTGACCAAGCCAAACTCCATCACTTGGCTTTGGGCTGTTTCTTGGAGGGTGGGGGTCCAGGGTCCTAGTTCTGCATTGGTCCCCCCACGTGGGACTGAATCACTGCAGCTCTCTGCGTATTCCCCTGATGCAGTTGCTGGAGATCACTTGGTTTCTCTGTCACACCCCTCCAAATATTCTCCTGTCATTAAAAACAGTGACTCCCCCAGGGACACAGGCTGGATATGAGGGGATGACTCCAGCTGAGTTTTCCCTGCCTTGAGTGACTGAGACTGAGTGAGAGCGAGAGTGAGTGTGAGTGAGTGAGTGAGTGAGTGAAAGTGTTCTCATTGTGAGTGAGTGAGTGAGTGAGTGAGTGAGTGAGTGAGTGAGTGAGTGAGTGAGTGAAAGTGTTCTCATTGTTCTCTATCCCTCATTTGGAGTTCTGGACTTATTTTGACCACTCAAAAGGCTTGCTGTCAGCCCCTTGTGCGGGTCTAAAGAAGTGCTCCAAACAGACTGCTTTCCAGCTGTGATCCCTCATCTTTTACTGTCTGCAAAGCTGTCGTGGCATGTCCTGAAGAAACCTGCAGAAGAAATGCTGGCCTGGGTCCCACCTGGCCGGGCTGGGCTCCTGAGCATGGCACTAAAGGTCAGCGGTTCACTCCTGTGGAATCCCAGGAATCTTCTTCATTCGTTTTCATCTTCTTTCCAGTCCCCTAATCAGATAAACTGTGTGGGGAGAGGCAAGAGGGGGGGGAGGAGTATGTGATGTAACCTCTTATTCTGGCTAAGTTGTGCAATAACGCCATGGTGCCGGCGGCTGGCAGTGGGGTTTTGGTGGCCACTGCTAGGAGACTGAAGAAGATGGCCTGAAGATTCACCACAGCTGTGGGAGACCTCGCAGGGGATGTACTCACCTCCTTTGTGGAGAGGAAGGCTGCAGCTCCTTGTCTTGCTGGCTCCACCTGCGCCACGAGCGGCTGGGGACAGCCCTGGAGAAAGGGACATTTGGAGCCACTTGCGCTGCTGCGGTGAGTCTGCTCCTCCTTCCTGCCTTTTCCCGACGGATTTGGGGGGAAGGAAGGGGAGTGAGCTGGAGTGCATGTGGGTTTTTTGGGGACTTGTAACTGTGTGGAATCCCTGAGGGATTGACTCTGAGCCTGCTGATAATCGCCGACTAAGCTGGGTGCTGGCAGAGTCCACCCGGATAACAAGGGCATGTGGCTCTGGGTCAGGATAGGTGTGACATCTCCCAGGGGTCTCTGGCTTTGTGTCAGAGGAACACCCCAAGAAGTAGGTTGACTGTAAGGATTAACTGCAGGAGAGAAATTTGGGGGTGTCTGTCACTGACACAATGTTGGGCGTGGGTGTCACAGTCTGTCAGGAGGGGTCAAAGGAGAAAATGTACTTTTCTCAATGCCAGCAGGAGATGAACCTGGAGGAAGCTGCCCCTGTGTATTTGCTAATGGAGACAACTGGATCAGGTAGCTCAAGCTGTTGAAACTAACTGCAGAAGTGTTTTCTAGGAGAACTTCCAAGTTCCTTTGAAAACATCTCCCTACTAAAGGAAAGAAGGGAAGAGGAGGATCATCATAATATGTATGAGTATTCTACTTTATACACTATATTACAGAATCTATACCAGATAAAACAAAATTAATGTATAAACTGGGGCTCAGAAAAACCAAATAACCAGCTCTGTTAACACCTCTGGAGCTGCAGCAGTGCTGAATGAATCCCCAGCTGCCTTCCAGCACTGGGAATATCTAATACTACCTGTGCAAAGATGCAGTTATGACACTTGGTGTTTGTCCTCATGTGAATGTTGTGCCCACACTGCTTTAGGAAAAAATGCCATGAAAAATGCCATGTGACTGATTTCCCAGTGGTACTGGCAGTTCCCTCCTGGATCTGGCAGATCACATGCAACTGCTCAGAGCATTTTTTAGAGGTGAAAACTCCATGCAATATCAAAATCTGGAAATTAAATAATAAATTATTAAAATTTATAAATAAATAAAATCTGGAAGTAGCTAATCATTGGGGGGGGGGGGGCTTCTCTTTCTTCCCTTTTTAAAGGGGACTTTAATCCTGGTCTAAAAGTTAATTTTTTAGAAAGCAAACTATTATCCTTTCATTAGCTGTAGTTCTTTGTCTAAAGAACCTCCTCATTCCTGACTCAGTCAAGTTAATTTCTTTCCAGAACTTGAGATGGCTTCAACTTGGCAGAAAACTCAGGAATTCTACAACTGGATTCTTGAAAGTGGAGGTAGGTAGAGATGCTGTCTAAAATGGGAGTTTCTGCATCAACAGCATGATCATGAAAACCAAACCTAGAAGGAATTTAATCCTTACACTAGCCCACATTTTCCTAACTAAGAAGATTTCCACTTTTCTTTCTCCATGATCACAAACTTCCCTTAAGTCTTGAAATATATCTCATTGACCCTCCAGTTGGATCACAGTAAGGAATGAAGTGACTAGGAATTTCCCAGTGGGCAAGGAGCAATAAATGCCTGAGATTGTTGAGTCTGGAGTACTAAAGGAAGTGATTTTTTTAAATGCATATTCATGTGTCATGGGAAAGCTTAGTTGACCAAAGAGTTAATACTTTGGCATCTTTGTGATGCCAGGAAGACCTGTTATCAAATGAAATATTGGCAGTAACCACTCCTCAATGCCTGAGATTTGACAGCTTGCAGTGAGGAGACATCAGATTTTCATTAGTTAAAGGCTCAATTTGGTCCCAAAGGGCTGTGATGTATCTCTGGATGTAAAGAAAAGCCACAAAATGCCATGAAGGTAGAACAGCAGGCTTGCAGGAGGAAGACATGAGGCATAATGCTTAGACTTTACATAATGCTCAGTAAATGTTTCAGGACTTAAATTTCACAAGAAAGTGTAAATTGTGATTCAGGACTTCCGATGAACTGCTAAATCTAGAAATGGAATGTCAAAGAGCTCCTAACACAGCCCATAACAGCCATCATAAAGAACTGGAAGGTTTAGAAGGGAGAGGGATTAACAGAGTTGTCCAGACTGGTATGGCATTTATAAAAAATGAAAGGGGTTGACAGAGCAGTGATCACACAGCAAAGGAAAGCATGAATGGTACCTGGGATGTTTTTGCTGATGTAATATATCCTGGGTGACAGCAGGATTAGGAGGAGGTGGCATGACAGAAAATCTCTTCAGTTTCCCTTTGCTGTAGGACCGAAGAGCTGTTTCAGCAGGGATAAGTGTTTTGGTATTTCCGAGTGAATTCATGCTTCTTAAGAGAGCCCACTGTAAGAGCAGATATAAAAACGAAGGAGTGGAGAATTTTAGATATCCTGAGGATTGTAAGGAAGTAACACCAAGGATTGAAACACATTTATTATAAAATTGTAAGTTTACACTCCCTGAGGAGGCACTGTTGCTTTGGCTGCTCCTGTGCTTCCCTGCACAGTGTCTGGGATCACTTCTTTCACCCAGGGAGGGCTCCAACTCATCCCAGGAAAGATCTGCCTTCCAGTACGGCAGTCCATACCCAAAAACGGGGCTAAAACCTTTGTGCTAAATCCTTTTGGCAGAGTCAGAGCAGGACTGAGGTGCAGCTTTGCAAAGACACAAAGACACCAATTTTCTTTCTGCAGCGAGTGCACCAAAGGGAAGTATTGAAATACAATTAAATACATCCGCCCCATGCTGTGTGGAGGTGCCAGCTGTGGCTGTGTGTCTTTCTTCTCAGATCTGAGGACAGACCCGTGGCCACTGGTTTACTCCCCACTTCCAGTCATCCTGGTCTTCACCTCCTACCTCTTCATAGTGGCACTGGGACCGTCCTGCATGCGGCAGCGGCAGCGGCTGGAGCTGAGGGCTCTGCTACTCACCTACAACCTGGCCATGGTGGCATTATCCAGCTACATGTTTTATGAGGTGAGGAGGCAGGATTGGCTCCTAGGTAAGCACCTGAGAAGGGCTTGAATTCCAGAGCCTTCAGATTCCAGGGTTTGAACAGCTTTTGCTGATGGACTCTGCTGAAGGGAGTGGGAGCTGTCTTGGACATGTCCCATGTTTTGCCACAAGAGGGGCAGTATTGTCCTGCTGTGCTTGATTTCCTCCCAGTTCTCAATATCTCTGCCATTCATGAAATTAACATGGAATTTCATTCATCCTGAATGAATGAGTTGCAGGTTGAGAATTCCTCATTAGGCACAGATTATGTGGAGAAAGTGGAATGGTCTCATTTTGTCTCGAGTCTGGCTGGTGATGGATCCATCTCTGAGGATGAGAACTACTGGACTAGTGGAAGGTGTCCCTGCCAAAGGCAGGGGTTTGGGACTAGGTGATCTTTAAGGTCCCTTTGAACAATCTATGATTTTCCAAAGTTGGCAGTTCTCTCCAGGAGTGCCAAGCACTCTCTGTCTTCCTGCTGCTGAGAATGTTAAGAACTTATTTTTCTGCTTGTTCTTAATGCATAAGCCTTTCTACAAGCCTTTCCTCCCAAGTTTATGTAGGCCACTGAAAACTCTTTGAGGGAACATGGCCAAATAGGTTTCAAAAACATTCTGTTGACAACAAATATGCCCTTTTAATTTGTATTACAAGTGTTACATTAACACTATAATGTGTTACATTTAACGCTATAATACATAAACACTATAAAAACACAATCACTTTTGTTTTTTTTTAAACAAATGCTTCTCCATCTTAGGACAGGTGTGCAAATTGCTTTTCTGCACTTGATTGTTCAGTTCTACTGGTTATTTGGTCCAGTTTTTGGCTTTCCAATGAACAAGCAAATGCAACCTACCAGAACAGAACAGAAAGATCTTTGCAAAGGAAAGCAGAGTCTCTCAGAGAGACTTAGAAGCCTAGAATTCAGTATTCCTGCTGAAGTAGTTTTGAGCCCTCCAGTGATTACACAAAGAGTTACAAATCTTCCCAGGCCCAATTTGCATTTTTTGAGATTTCAACCAGGATGTGAAGTACTTTGTTTTAGGTTTTTACTATTTGTCCATGGATTTTCTGTCAGTACTATAAGACTGAAACCTCACTACCTTAGCATTAATATGTCCATCTTTTTTGGAACAGATGGCATTGAACAGAAAACTGATTTCTATTTGCTTTTTGTCTGTTTCAGTTTCTGGTCACTTCAGTCTTGGCCAACTACAGCTACCTGTGTCAGCCAGTGGATTACAGCCGGAGTGAGCTGGGAATGAGGGTACAGTTCTGGAGAAAGCTTGCCTTAGGCCCTGCCCTCCCATTTCTAGGCAGATTCTTTTGCTCATAAATAGTAATTTGCATGGCTAAGAAGGCTTTGACTCCAGTTTGTTGTTGCCTGTAAATCTATTCCACTAAATTGTCTCCTTCGACAGTTGTTGTGCTTTGCTTTAGTTCTCTAAAATTAATCATCTAATCATCTCAGTCAGCCCAGCCATCCAAGTTTGCTCTTTGACCACTGCAGAGAGGGTGATCTTACCAGCTGAAGTATCAATATTGCAAATCAATTATTGAAATAGACGTGATTCTTTGCATGGATTATAAAGATTCTGGGTGATCTCTTTCCAACAAGAAAACTGATTTTTATATCCTCTGCCTTGTATGACAGAAATCTCACTTAACCCTTCTTTTAGCAGGGGGGTTTAGCTAAAACTATTTCTTGGTCATCACAGGGGTTCGGGTCTCACCAGCATCAGCTTTCCAAAAATGCTGCATGAGTTTTTTCTCAGTTTTTCAGAGTCTTGCCTTCTGGACAAAAAAAAAGACCCCTTAATTTTCCCCCCTTGCTGCAGACCCCGGGTGGGCAGGGATACAGCGTGGTTGAAAATGTGTTGATTTGGGGTAAAGCTTTAACCGCCGTGCCTTGTGCTGCCCAGCAGATGGCAAGAGTGTGTTGGTGGTTCTTCTTCTCCAAAGTCATCGAGCTGCTAGATACGGTAAGGAGGGCTCAGCTCCTCAGCGGGACCGGGGCTGGACACAGATACTTCTTTGGCAGAAAGGGGCAGCGTGCCAGAACTGATGTCCTGGGTTGATCACATATTGATTCGCTGCCCGTCTCCGTCCCTTGGCTGCACACATTCCCTCCCCAGCACACTTCCTGAGGCTGGGCACAGTGCTAGGGGAGAGGCTTTACCCCTGGCTACTGCCAGGTGGGTCCCCAAAATTTTAGCTGCTGGTGCCACACAGGTTCTGCTATTGCCTGTCTGGCTGATTAACAGTGGGGATGAAAAGGAGCTGGACAAGTCCTGGCATCTCTGCTGCCATGGATTTTCCCAGGGCTCTGCACTAAAGGTTTGTGTCCTGGGGGAATTTAAAGTCCACCTCTTTACAGCTTGTTGTCAGGTGTCCTTCTGCACTGTAAATGAACTAAGTGACTGGACAAGGCCTCTGCTTAGCCAGCAGAAGACAGCTGTGTCCTAGCCTGAAATTTCTCAGCTCTCTGGGGTGTAAGCTGACAACCTACTGAAATGTGAATAAACATGTGGATCCTTCCTAGGCCTATTGCCAGGGTTTTGGCCGATCCCTTCTGTTTGTATCAGCAACAAAAGCAGCTTTTTGCCAGTCCTGAGTGCCTGAAAAGCAGATTCACTTTTTGTTGTGTGTGTATGAATGTGCATGCAGAAATGCAGTGACCTGACGTATTCATCTGGCAAAACCCTTCTGTTTACTAATGCAAATTCCAGGAAGGTTTCAACACAGTGGATTTTCTATGGGTTATTGTCTGGTAGCAGTAAATATACAAGCTATGCCCTGAAAAGGAGCAGATCCAAGCAGCTGTGAATTGTATGGAAGCTCAGTCAGAGTCTTAGATGTATCCTCTTTGGACTTTGGGCCCTGAATCCAGACATAAAAATATCTGGGGCTTTGTGGAAGAAATTCTGTCTTCTAACTCCCCCTACAAGTTCTATTGTATTTCACCAGTTTTTGTCAACAGCAGAGGAAATGGGTTTGGGAGATTCAGACTCGTAATTAGCTATTTTTATAACTTTTTACTGTGAAATTTTTGTCTAGACACATCAACTCAAGGTTTTCCTTTGCCTGGCTTCTTTCAGGTTTTCTTAATTCTGCGCAAGAAACAAGAGCAGGTGACTTTTCTGCATGTGTACCATCATGGCTCTATGCTCTTCAACTGGTGGTCAGGGGTCAAATACGTGCCTGGAGGACAAGGTATGCTTGTAAGAAATGCTGCTGCAAGAAAACCTTGTGTTTCTCACAGCTTTTTTGGGCAATGGAGGTAGCATTAACAGTGCAGATGGGCTGACTGGCAGGTAGGAAGCTCATCTACTTCCAAAGGTGAGAAAAACATGTGCATTCTAGATGATCCCACCTGCTCAGCTTTTGGGGCTGTTTAGGCTGCCCTGTTCACTGCCTCAACCAGAATAAGAGTGTGCCATCAGAGCAGGTCCAAACAGAAAAAAATAACAACCCACAAAAGGTCACTGTATATCTCCTCCCAGAGCAGTGCTCCCTCTCTCTCCACTCAGAGGCCCTGGGGCAGCAGGCCAGGTTCTGGGTCTGTTTCCCGCTGTGGCCGTGCCCATTTCTGGGCTGTATCCAGAACACTGCCCCTTTCTGCTCAACTGGAAGAGAAGCATCTGGGTACTCCAGGTAGGCCTTATACAAGATGCTGGGGCATTTTTTTGGGAAGTCATTTTGGCTACACAGCGTTGACACCAGAATGGTGTGAAATGCTTAGGTCAGACAATCAAAGTCTCTCCTCTGCCTTTGAAGCCCTTCTCTGTCTCTGAACACTTGATATGGGATGGGTATATTATGGATACCCCAACCTTGGCAGTGTTCAAGGCCAGATGAGATGGGGCTTTGGGGCAACTCTAGTGGGAGATGTGCCCTGGGGGTTGGAGCTGATGGCCTTTAAGGTCCCTTCCGACCCAACCCATGCAATGACTCTGGATGCTGAAGGAAGGGAAAAGCTGATGTGCTTCCACAGTGTCCTGGTTTTGCATGGGAGGTATGAGATCCCAGGTGGAATGTTCATGCACAGAGGTGGGTGTAGTGTGTTTTGGAAGCATCATCAGAATGGCTGTGAGGCCTTCACAGAGTTATCCTGGAATGGGTTGTGTGCCTTGTTCACCCTCACTTTCTCACTCCTCAGCCTTCTTTGTTGGGATGCTGAACTCCTTCGTCCACATCTTCATGTACGGCTACTATGCCCTGGCCAGCCTGGGACCGCAGATGCGCCAGCACCTGTGGTGGAAGCGTTACCTGACCATCCTGCAGCTGGTAATTAGCTCCAGGTGTTCACCCCTGCCCTCCCATGGCTCAGGTGTGATGGCCTCTGCTGTCTGTCTACTCACTGGCTCCATTTGCTTGCTGTCCATGGAGGGCAGCACATCCCCAGGTGCCCTCATGTGCCACTCTGAGAGGTGAAGCCATGGGTGACCTGCTTCAAATGCTTTCACAAGACTATCAGAGGCTTTCAGTGACCATCTCAAACTAAGTATCCACAGCTTTGTAATGGGAAGGGAAGAGAAAAATTAACAATTGGATTCCTCCTTTTTATGTTGTATATGGAGCAGTGAAAACAGAGCTTGATGTGGAGAGGTAGGGACAGTGATTATGGGAAAGTGGATTCTCAATAAGGCAACTGACTGGGGAGCCTTGATTCAGTTCCTTCAGAAAGGAAGGGGGTCTCTAGCTACAGGCAAACAGGCAAGTTAAAAAGAAATATGTGAATTTTACTCTTTCTCTAGAAAATTCCTTTGGATTTTCTTTCCCTCATCTCTGATGAAGTTACAAATCTGGAAAACTCTGTGTTTTTTTAAAGATACAGCATAAATGCAATGGTCCAAACAAGGACAATGGTTGTAGGAGGGATTTTTCCACTCAAAGAGAGGCTTTGCAAACCATAAGTATGCAGTTACAAGGGAAGAGGAAGAGGATATGTGTAAAACACTGGTGCAGTGAAGACTGCTCCAGAATTCTTACTTAGCCTGCATGGCAAAACAGAACAAGAAAGCATTGCATGAAATAAAAAGGTATTTCTAATGCAAATTATAGCAAAGGAAAAAAAAATATTTAATAACTTTTTGGTAGGTAGAACTCATTGCTTCAGGATATTGAGATAGGTAACTTAGTAAAATACAAAAAAAATGTTAATGTGAATGTTTAAATGAATAAAGGTAGTATCTGCATTTCCTCTCTGCAAGTTAAAATACAAATTAAAGTAATTATGGGTATAACAACCTGATTACCACTGGGGAAGAGGAATCTACCACCTTCACTTTTCATATTCCAGCATCTCAGTTATTGCACTATGGCAGAGAAATGGGCCAAGGGCAGGAGAGACAGGACTGGTTAAACCTTCAGGTTCAGTGGACATCTTTCCTGGTGGGAAAACACTACTAAACTTGAAAGGAAGGTTCCCAGGGATGTCAGGAGAGGCAAGCAGGTGATCCTGTGGGTTGAGGACACTGCTAGGATGTTGTGATAGCTGTGATGGTCTCAATGGCCAGCTGAGGTGTATCTCATGTAGGTTCCCTAATCTGGCTGCTTCTTTTTTCCACCTCTTCCAGTGCCAGTTTGTGGCCATTGCTGCTCATTCTTCCTACAACCTCTTCACAGAGTGCCCGTTCCCTGATGGCTTCAACACCGCAGTCCTCCTCTACGTCCTCAGCCTCCTGGCTCTCTTCCTACGCTTCTACTATCAGACCTACGTCAGGGGAAAGCGGGAAAAGCTGACTTGAAGGAAATCAAAGAGAGGACAGAGAAGGACAGAGAGCGCAGCCTGATGAACATGAGCATTCTCTGCTGCTTGTGACATGGTTCCAGGAAGGAAATGTATCTGGGGAGTGTGTATGAGGCTCACGTCTAGCCTTCAAATATCCCAGGTGAGGGAGAAGAAAGGAATGATGTAAACTCAGGGATTAAGGAACTGAGGAGGCACACTTAATTAAGCTGACGCCAAGCTAAGCCAAGTAGTCACAAGCATAGCAGGCTTTGGGACATTTGCAAGATAAGGTCTTTTTCCCTTCCATCTTTAACTTGGTGTCCAAGGTCTAGCAGCCAGCTACAACTCCCTGCCTCATTTCTTAGGCTGTAGAGGGTTTCTTTGCTTCCACAGAACTCTCTCAGCTTGTTGTTGTAGGTCAGGCAGGGTCATGTGCCTCCAGCCTGGAAATCAATGTCCAGGTAGCAGCAGCAGCCAGGACTCACAGGGACTGCAGGATGTACACTGCATCCCACCCATCCTGCTAAGGAAGCTCCTACTAGGCCTGGGGTGGTCCTGATGGTTTAATTCTTATCAGTATAAGCAGCAAGGAAATTGGACATTAGGTTGTCTGGCTGAACAGGTGTCTTCACTGTCCTGAAGCTAAAGAAGGCATTATTAGCATTTTCATCCTAATAAGAAACCAGTGCAGTAAGAGTCACCATGTCCCACTTTCTGGAATGCTCATTTCCCTTTGGTTGCTCTCATACCAATAGAGGATTTTAATGCATGAAGATACTTGGTTTTGCTCCTTGTAGATGCCATAATTGAACTAGAAAGAATAGATTGATGTTCCATTTTCATAACTGTTTTCTCCAATTTGTTATTATTTTTAATACTTTTATTTTTAAATTTTGCTTCTTGTCAAACATAAAGAGTTTAGCAACACCATAAGCAACCACCTCCACTACCTAATTGTATAAGAATTAATATAAAATGTATAAAATCAATTCATTGGATAGTGCAAAGCTGCATAGCTCCATTGATTTTAAGATATCACTAACTGGCTTCTTCTTTCTGCTCCTAAATCAACTACAACTAGAATTTGACACTTATATTAATCTGCAGACTGTTAAATACTGTTAAAGTTCTGATGTGATAGTACTTTGAAGATCCTAATTAAACTACAAAGTGGTAATTATTGATTGAATCCTGCTCAGCTGATTAAAACTGGTACTACAGCGTAGTGGTATTTTGTGAAACACTGGTGTTGAAGGAGAGGATTGGAATTAGTGACATGATGCACTGCCACTGCCAAGCCAAATCCATCTCAAATATAAAAAAGTCCAACTCCACTGGGAATGTCCAGAGGACTAGGTCTGGCCTGAACAGCAAATGGATGTACCCCAAAAGACCTGTGTGCCCTTCACCAATCTGGAGTCGAGTGGCTACAAAAAATAAATTCAACTTGTTCTTCGCTGCTCTGTGCTCATACCCCAATCCTTTCCTTCAGCCCCTCCACACACATGCGGAAGATAAAACAATATTCTGCCATTCTTCACCCTCCTCCCCTTCACACACAGCCACTAAGGACTTGTTCACACTGTCACAAGGTCACATCATCAGTGTCCTTCCTTTGATTTGATCAGTCTCTCTTCTGGTTGTGACTGGTGAGTATGAGAATCACTGCATCCGTGCTGGGGAAGAGGAATCTACCACCTTGGTTTTCTTCCTGTCAACTATTTTTCCATGCAAATAATTAAATAAATAGTGACACTTTCAAATACTGGAGTTCTTCTGTCAGAATTTTAACTAGCAAATCCCTGGATGGGTCTTTCATTCCTCCCTTTGTTTGGAAAGACAGGAAAATGGGATCTACTGTGTATCTAACATATTCATGTGGAGGGTTTCCCCTGGGGGCTCTCCAGAGCTGAAGACTCATTGCAAGTAAAGCTGTTTCATTACTCTTGTCCACCTAATGATTCATTTACGGCCCTCTCCTGCAGTCTCGACCCGCGGCCACAGGAGCTGACGTGTGCCGGCTAGCCGCTCCCGGTGTGTGGCCGGAGGAGACCACGGATTCCGCCACTCCCAGGTTCTTCTCAAGAACCCCGGGTAGTGGTGCCGTCTGCAGCATGGGTGGCGCAGGCGAGAGTGGGACTGTGAAGCACTGAGGAAAAGAAAGGAGAGAGCAGATACTCATGTGGATGCCAAGGCGCTTTATTGTCCCAGGTGGGACCAGTGACGGTGTCAGGGAAGGACCGTTGGGAAGGCACTGATAAAGGGGATGGGTGTGACAGGAGGAGACACGAGGGAACCAATAAATGAAGCTCAGGGGAGGAGCAAGGGACACAACTGAACCAATAAGTATTGCATAGGGGAGGGAAAAGGCTCAAGAGACAAATCATGTCCTAAGTAAGGGATAACTGACACAGAAATTTCTCCAAATAAAGGGGGGGTGGTTACAATGATGGACAGGGAAACTGGGCAGCACCAGGAGGGAGGAGATAAACTTAAAGGATATAAGGGGAAGGACTAGGGGATCGGTCACCTTAAAAGACAGGTCGCTGGTGGGAAAACAAGGGACAAACAACTCAGGGACAAACTATTGTGAGGGAGGAACATGGGGGAAACCGAAGGTCAAACTGGAGCAGGTAAGGGAGTTGAAGTCAGGGTAGGGGTATTAACCACAGGGGTGTTAATCAGTGGTGGTAATGGGATTGGAATGGCTGCTGGTTGTGGGGATGGAGAGGCCAGAGGTAAAATTGGGGGATCTGGGAGAGGAGTCTGGGGCATAGCCGGGTAAATAAGAGGGAACGGAGGAGGAGGTAAGTAATCAAGGGGGTCTCACTTAACACTAACCTCTTCTCTCCCCTCATTCTTTTCCTCCTGTTTTTGTAGTTTACAGATTTTTATAACCTCATTGCCAGTGATATCTCTCTGCCAACATGCAGCATATGTTAACTGCTCAAGACTGGGACTTTCTCAGGCTTTCAGGTGTTGGTTTAACACATCCATGAATCTCTTGTCCCATACCACGGCCACTCCCCCTGCAGGTTTAACTTAGGCCAGACTTCCATACAATAGTGAATCATTTTTATTTTGTCTAAGCCTTTTGTGGCCTCCTGAGTGTCCCATTGATCAAGCATCTGCCCAAGACAACTATCAGGGGGAATATTCTTCTCTGTTTTCTCATCTTCCCTTCCAAATCTTCTTCTTTTACTCAAACACTTTCTCATACTGACTCTAATTTGGTTCTTAACTGAAATCTTAAGGTGCCCCTACCCAAACGAAAACTACTGATGGGCAAAACAACACTTAATATTCTTTTACTGTTCAAGCATTCATTCACTTTCACACTGGTAAGTATGGGGAATTTACTCACACACTCGGGAAAAGGACGGGAATCTCACCTACACTCACAGGCTCAACTCTCTCACTTCCCTGGGGAGTCCCAATGGGGCTCCCTCTGGCCCCTCCCTCACACCCCTACAGTACACAGGCCCGGGGTTAGGTCCCACTGGAGCTCCCTCTGGCCCCTCCCTTGCACCCCTCCTACCAAGGAGAGGGGGGGGTCCTACCCCTTTTGGAGGCACCTCAACCACCAATTCCACTCACTTCCCCCTGTTCCTGGCCAGCCCCCTCGCGGGAGTCCGGAAACGCGGTACTAGGGGGCCCTCACTCGCTTTGGGGGTCCGAGCTGCCGGCCCCCATCTCACTCACTCCCCACTTGCTTGCCTCCAACTCCTGCCACCAGTTCTTACCAGGTCCCGGTGCTCCTCTGCATCGCTAGTCCCAGGCTGCCTTCCAAGGTCCTGGCATAGCCAGCTGATCCCTGGAGGCCCAATAGGGCAGGCAGCTGTCCCATCCTCAGTCCTCTTCGGGTGTGACTATCCCGGACGAGTCCCCAAGCTGTGATAAATAGGGCCAGGAGACCAACTCCTTTAAAAGGCCTTTATTAAAGACAGCTCTGGATGGGGAACCTGAGGGGTCGCGCACACTGCTGCTGCTCCCACTGGACGACGCTGAGGAAGAGGAGTGCAGCTTCATCTTTCAGCAGAGCTAGAGCTGCACTATTGGCTCGTAGCCCAGGGGTATCCTCCAAGCTGGGTCCTATCAAATTTATGGTGACAGGACGAAATCCGGCTCTGGTCAAGAGTGGGTGACTTAGTGTGGTTCTGGTGGGTTAAAGTCAAAGTTTATGTGCTGGTTTGTTGTTTTGAGAGGGTTCATATAGTTCTCACAGCCTCTCATTTGAATTCAGTCCAGGTGCAAGGCCTCCTGGGAGCAGGGGAGCAGGGGAAGTGGTTCCCAATGGGTGAGACAGAAAGGGGTACAAATGCAGAGTATGATGGGGAGAGATGCAAATACAGGGTAAAATGGTAACATTTAACAACGGCAACTAAAGGCAAGTCGTTGAACTCTAACATTCAATGTTTAACAACAGACCAACACTTCAAATTAAGACTTTATCAACTTCACTAACATCAACTACCAATTACTACTCTGAAAAAGAGCTCTCATCTCCAGGATTTCATTCCTCACAAAACCATAATCTCGACTTACAAAAAATAACCAACTTTGCAACAAAACCTGTATAAAACACACAATGCTACTCTCTCCTGCTTCAACCATCAGTACCTTTGGCCCCCTAGTTTTGTGGTAGAGCATTTCCTGCAGCTGGCTAAATTTTCTGTGCTCACAAGCACTCTAATGCTCTTTTTCCTATACATGAGTAAATGCAATCTAATGCTCTTTTTCCTATACATGAGTAGGTTTCAACCTCAGTTTTCCCCTCACTATAATGTTTTCAGAATGTAGTAACTAAGTTCACTCATAATTTTATACCAGACTAACCATCACATATTTTGATTTTCCTTGATTCATGACTGCTTAAAAATTGGAAATGAGCACAGAATCTGAATGAGGTTAATCCTTGCTTTTCCACTCTTAAAATACATGAATTTGTAAACATGCCATTTATCTTTTTTAATGCAGCCTATGCAGGTTAATTTGTGTCCATGTATGACAAAGCAATGGTTTCTGGAGTGTCACTGGCCACATAGGTGGTAACAAAACATGAAAATACAAATCTGTCACCTGACAGCTTGAAGTGACTGATCACCCAATTCAGACACCACTGTCACCACTTGTTCTAGACATGAAACCTTTGATTTATTCCTGTTCCTCTTCCTCACAGCCTGAGTGAATGGCCTGATCTTGAATGAGTAAGAGCTTTTCGTTGGTATGACTTTGATGGCACAGGATGAAAATGAAGTATTTTCAGTCAAATGATAAGGAGGGATTGATTTTGCCCAGAAACACCATGCTTTCCATACAGAAACTGTATGGAAAGCATGGCATGGAGCACAGCTGTTACAGAAGCATTGATGCAAGCAAAATTAACTTGTGAGGGTATTTGCACAGGCAGTGAAGAAAAACGTGCAGTGGTATAGCTGAGAGGCTCTGCAGGTTACTCCTTCAGATTGCCGTTGTTTGTCTTTGTTCTCCTGTTTTAAAATTGGGTTGTCCTAATTGGAACTGTCCACCTGAGCAATCTCGTTGTAACAAAAAACCTGAAAGCACAGCTATGTGCTCCTGGAATTTAACAGAGAGTAAAGACACCAAATGGGATTTCCCCTCTAAAATCAAGTCCCTGGAATTAAATATTACACCACAGAAAAGCAATGGAAGTCAAAAGGGGCAGGAAATTATAAATTGCAAGCTTGGATGGCTCATGCTGTCTGGTAGAGTCCAAAGCTTTGAGGATGGGTTGAAAATACCCTGTCACAGCTGGATTTGTGAAAAACCTCTGGGCCAAATGCTGGTTCTACCAATTTGAGTGACAAAGGCTGGAGCAACTCAGGATGCGGATGAGGCTGACACAGCTGTGTGGAAAGCAGCACGCTCAGCTCCACAGCCATGTTTGCTGGGGGCAGGAGTGTTATTCAATCCTACAAACAGATGACTTTTGAGGGCACGGTGGTGTTTAAGTCTCCCTCTTACAAACTGTGGGTCATTAGATGTTCGTCGAGCAGTTTACATGAACAAGATGTAAAGCATAGTGCAAGTAGGCTGCTGAAATGAATTAGCTTGATATCTGGTTGTGCTCAGCATCTTTCCTGCTGTTCCAGTCAATGTAAATTATGGATGTTCTAATCAAATTACTTTTGAATTAAGCAGACCATTTACTCTGTGCTTACTTTCTCTCTGAAGATAAATGAGAGGGATTCTCATTTTAATCAAAACGAAATACAGAAGAGAAAATCAATTACTATTTAATGTTTTTTCCATCCCTGTGTGATGGAAAGTTTCTAGAGGAACTTGGGCTTAAAATTGCAAAGCAATATAAAATACAGGGACATGGTTGGGTTTTAGCTATTGGATTTTTTTATATACTATTAGAAAACATGGCTGTGTTGTTTGTTTGTTTGTTTGTTTGTTTGTTTGTTTTAAGGCAAAAGAATTACTCTAAACAATTAAACAAGCAAAAGCAGAATACAGTAGATTGCTTCACCCAAAAAATAAAAATCTGTTGATACAGATGTAAACCACCTAGAAGCCAAACATTTAGAAAGATAGCCAGCCCTATATATAGAACAGTGTGAATGTGCTGAATTCATTAATAAATAGCTTCATGGATTAGGGCTTGATAGATGGAGATCTCCATCCAGATGTTTATTGTGATTTGTCAATGGCCTGGTACTTAATCCTCCTGGACAGGAAACCCTTTCTCTAGGGTCTCCCCTCCGGACTGTGGCAGTGCCTCCCTCTGGCCTGAATCCTCCCAGCACTGGATGAGGCTGCCGAGGAATTAACCAAGTGGCAGAGGCACAGATTTGCCTTTAACCCTTTCGGTTTCCTCTCAGCTTCAGATGATTTCCTAACCATCTGCCACAACCTCGCGTTTTTTAGTCAACATATGGAAAAGGAAAAAAGGGAGTCACCCATGTCACTCTGGGGTCCCTGTACCCACAAAATGTGCAGAGGAAGGCACATGGATTCCCATCAGCACTGAGGAGGAGGAGGGCTGTGAGCAGCCTTAAGAGCTTGGTGTGCCCCTCTTCACTGCTCAGCATCATTTTTTCGTTTTTGTTATGCTGCCACTCCCTGTCAGTGACAGGGATGGCCCAAGAGGTAGTATTTGTGAGAAGACTGATGTCCCCAGGGTGTCCTCGGTCAAGGTACCAGAGAGTGTAGTGCGTGTATGAGTGAGTTTGGGTGTGGGTAGGTGAATGCAGCCCTTGCAGACAGTCCCCATGGCTCATTTCTCAGCATATGGGACCTCTCCGTGGGATGGGTCCTTCATCTTGCTGTGGGACACTGAAGACAGCTCCTAGCAGCCACACCTGCTATGGAATGGCACAGTGGGTGCTGCAGTGAATGCTAGGTTTTGTTGTGGATATGCAGGATTGTAAAGGACTGATTTCCTGTGTTCAACTTCTGGCTAAATCACAAATACAAATGTTGACAAATAAATTCTTTTCAGGGACTGCCTGGTTAAAACATTAGTAGCACATCTCAGTACTATTCTCTAGTCTGCCTGTCATCGTTTCTCTCCAGTACCTTGGCTTTCTGCTGCCAAACTCTCTTCAAGAGTTTGTCTTTACACTGAGCTGAAAAAATGAGGGCCATTAAATAAAAATTGTCCTTTAAAATTTCCTGCTTGGAGTAGATGTTCCTTCCCCTTTAACATCATCCTCCCACTTTCTCTTGTCCCTTTTCTCTGCTCTTCTTTTGTACCCACACATACAGACACCGTAATAGATTCTCAGACCTTTTAAAGCTGCAAAGAAAGTAGCTACAAGTTACTCAAAATGCTGTACAAGCAGCTGCATTTTTCTGATCTGTCAATTAATAATGTACATTTTCTTCATAGGGTTTTCTGCAAGGCTTTAATCCAAGTGAATTTGGGCAAGTCTTTAGTTTTCTTTGCACTTTAGCATAATCCCATCTGCCTTCAAATTCAGGATGTGAACACTGCAACTTGATAATTAGAAAAGCTACAAACTTGAACTAGAACTTAAATTTGGTATGGTCCCTTCCAGGCATTCCCTGCTATTGATAAAGGAATGGCAGAATGGATACAAACATCTGAGAGGCAGCAAGTTACTGCTCTTCTCTACACTTTATTCTGCCACCATCACAGATGTCTGAGGATGTTTTCTCCTGAAATAATAAATGGTTATTCCTGAGGCAATGTTTGGAGGGCAAATGCCCTGCTGACAGAGCTGGAAAACCAGAATAGTTTTCGAGTGTGCAAGCCCTACTCTGGTTGTAATCCCTGATATGCACTGGTAGCAGATCAGCCACTCCTTATTGGGGTGCACAGCTGTGTCTGTGGTGTGTCTGTATTTATCATGGGTTTTGCTAGTCCCAGAGGGTGTTATCCTATATTTTGCAGGTTTAATATGTTATCCCATTAAATAACTGTAAATCAAAGGGCCGCTATTTTGAAAGAAGAATTTATCTTCTACATAATTTTGCTTCTAGAAATTACTGGTGTGTGTAAAGCTGTCGTTTATTCACTGGCACACTGGCAAAACAGGTTGGCAATTCTGTGCTCAGTTCTCGGAGATAAAATGCAAGCCACCACTTACATAAACCATTTAATACAATTATGGTTTTCTATTTTGGCACTGCTTTTAATATCTTTGGGCAGATTTCATACACAGAGGTAATGTTTTAAATTAGGGGGAAGCCACTAGTCACAGTGAATCTAGGTGAAGTGTTTGATGGAGCTATGAGTGGTAACATAAGGATTTAAGAAAAAATGTCACTGTGATGCCAACTGGAAGGCAAAATGGTCACAATCAATTTTGTTAGAAAACCAGGAACTCCACAAGAGTATATATACCTATAGGTTCTAATCCTACAATATTTATATACATATTTAGTGTATTTCCCTGCAGACCTTAAGTAGAATACATGAGTTTATGGCTTGAATATAGCAAGTAGGATCTTAGCACTGACTGTATTACTGAAATTGCATCATTGTGTAAAGCTGCTCGCTTCTCTTTAATAAAATGTGCATCTACTGAAATGTTTTAGCCTTGGATGTGGGTTTAAGAATGCATCAATGGGAAAAGTGTTTGCAAATGTTAACATGAAAACAGCCCGGCAGAAATGTCGTTTGCTGGCTTGGGAAGCACCTTTTGGAACCGCACTAATTCAGCGAGAAACTCGAGGGAGCAGAAACGGGGAGAGCAAACGCAAAGCAATCCCTTCCATTGTTCTTATTCCGCTGGGGAATGGGGAGGGGGGGACACACGCCAAGAGGAGCCCGGAATCCCCGGGGCTTTCAGTTTGATTTTCATTAGAGGCGAGAGGGGGTGTGCAGCCAGAAGCGCTCGCGGCGAGCAAATCCACGCGCGGGGGCCGCCCCGTAATCCCCCGGCGCCGCGGGGGGCGCGGGATGCGGAGCGGAGAGCGCTGTGCCCCGCACCCCCGGCCCGGAGGGCAGCTCCAGCCCCCTGCCCGGGCGCACGTACGGCCGGCGCCCGGCCTCCCGCACCTCCGGAGCGGTGCCCCCGCCGCGCATCCCTCGCCCGGGCACCTGTGGGTATCCCCACGGCCGGGCCCCGCCGCCCCAGCGCGTCCGCGCCCCGACGCGCAGCCCCTCGGCGGGGCGGGGCGGGGCGGGGCGCGGGGGGATGCGGCATCCCAGCTCCCTGGGGGATGCTGCCGCTGCCTGCGCGGGAGCGCGGAGCAGAAGGGATCCTCTTTGACGTCAAGCGACCATAATATAATGATCGCTCGTTCATATCCGGGTCCCCGGGCGGCTCCCCCGGGCCGCGCTCGGCCGCGCTCGGCGGCGCAGTGAGGGGAGGCGGGTCGGCCAGGGCAGGGCAAGGCAGGGCAGCGGGGCCGCCCGGAGGTGGCCGGCGGCGGCAGGGGCACCGGGGCGGCGAGCGCAGCATGCCCGCCGCCTCAGACGCGCCTGCCTCCCGCCGCCGCCGAAGCTGCTGCTGCTGCTGCCCATGGAGATCGCGCTGGTGACTTTGGAGAACGGCGGCACCACGGCCATCGCGGCCGGCGACGATGCCGCGACCGCCGGCGGCCGGGCGCGCTGGCGGGGCAACTTGCTTCACCTCGCCGGCTCGCCGCAGCTGAGCGACGGCAAGGAGAACGCCCCTCCGCCGCCGCCGCCGCCGCCGCCGCCGCCGCCGCCGCCGCCCGCGGGGGACGAGGAGCGGGAGCGGCCCCCGCCGGGTCCCCGCGCAGGAGGCAGCGGCGGCGCAAGCGGCCCCGACGAGCGGCCAGCGGAGCTCCGCGCAGCCCTCACGCCGCCGCCGCGGCCGCCGCCCCGCGCCCCGCGCCCCGCCGTGGACATGGGGCCGTCCGAGGAAGGGGGACACCGCCGGGGCATGGCCATGGCTGCGGCGGGCGACGAGGAGGAGGACGCGGCGACGGCCAACCCGGGCGCCATGCACCATCAGCGGGTGCTGATCAACATCTCGGGGCTGCGCTTCGAGACGCAGCTCGGCACCCTCAACCAGTTCCCCGATACGCTGCTGGGGGACCCCGACAAGCGCATTCGCTACTTCGACCCGCTCCGCAACGAGTACTTCTTCGACCGCAACCGGCCCAGCTTCGACGGGATCCTCTACTTCTACCAGTCGGGGGGCAAGCTCCGCCGGCCCGTCAATGTCTCCATCGACGTCTTCGCCGACGAGATCCGTTTCTACCAGCTGGGTGAGGAGGCCATGGAGCGCTTCCGGGAGGACGAGGGCTTCATCAAAGAGGAGGAGAAGCCCCTGCCCCGCAATGAGTTCCAGCGCCAGGTCTGGCTCATCTTTGAGTACCCCGAGAGCTCCAGCTCAGCCCGGGCCATCGCCATCGTCTCCGTGCTGGTGATCCTCATCTCCATCATCACCTTCTGCCTGGAGACCCTGCCCGAGTTCAGAGACGAGAGGGAGATGCCCGTACCTCTGCCCCCACAAGGTGGAGGTTTGAATGGCACGCCCGGGGACTCCCCACCCATGCAGCCACCCAGTAGCCTGGCTGACCCCTTCTTCATCATAGAGACCACCTGTGTGATCTGGTTCACCTTTGAGCTCCTTGTACGCTTCTTCGCCTGCCCCAGCAAGCCCGAGTTCTCCCGCAACATCATGAACATCATCGACATCGTGGCCATCATCCCCTACTTCATCACCCTGGGCACCGAGCTGGCCCACGAGCAGCAGCAGCCCGGGGCTGGCAGTAGCAATGGGGGTGGGGGCCAGCAGCAAGCCATGTCCCTGGCCATCCTCAGAGTCATCCGCCTGGTCAGAGTCTTCAGGATCTTCAAGCTCTCCAGGCACTCCAAGGGGCTGCAGATCTTGGGACAGACTTTGAAAGCCAGCATGAGGGAGCTGGGCCTCCTCATCTTCTTCCTCTTCATCGGGGTGATCCTCTTCTCCAGTGCTGTCTACTTTGCTGAGGCTGATGACCCCGAGTCTCATTTCTCCAGCATCCCTGATGCTTTCTGGTGGGCTGTCGTAACCATGACTACTGTGGGCTATGGGGACATGAGACCTGTCACTGTGGGGGGCAAGATTGTGGGCTCCTTGTGTGCCATCGCTGGTGTGCTCACCATTGCCCTCCCTGTCCCTGTCATTGTGTCCAACTTCAACTACTTCTACCACCGAGAGACTGACCACGAAGAGCAGGCTATCCTCAAAGATGAACACAGTAGTGCTCAGGGCAGCACTGCAGGGGGAGAAGTGAAGAGAAGACCAAGCAAAAACTCTCTGAACAAATCTGTTGTGCACTTGGAAAACAGTGAGGAGTTCAACAATGGCACCAGCTCCTTAGAGAAAGCAAATATCAAAGCAAAAAGTAATGTAGATCTCAGAAAATCCCTCTATGCTCTCTGTCTGGACACCAGTAGGGAAACAGACCTGTGAGGAGAGGAGACGGTTAGAGTTCAGAGGGGCAGAAGGATTTTCTGGTGTCAGAAACTTGCTACTCCAATTACTCTTTTAGTACCAATTAGTTTTTTAAGTCATAAAAAAGTCAATAAGGCTGTATTTTATAAATTGATCACTATCCTGAGCAGTCCTCCAGGAATACATGTTTTTGTGGTTTTTTTCCATGACACAAAGGGTCACCTATTTTTAAAATAGACTAAGAATAAGCTACACTCCATGCAGGAGCTGGTAAATTATGACAGAGAAAAATCTAATTTTTAGAAACTTATTTTAGCAAATGGTCATTGGTTTTGAATGGGTAATTTGTAACCAATTCAGTTGATCCTGAGTTTAGTGTAATGAACTGGGGGGATGTGTGTGTGGAGAATGAATGGATTGGGGATGGGAGGGAGGAGGTGGAGGGGTTTTGTATTACAGTTTCAAATTGGAATTATTCAAATATATTTTGTATCTGTATGACTGTATTTATGGTTGAAAGGAGATTTCTTATTCCTGTGAAATATGATAGCATTAAAGCACTAGGAACATTAGCAAATCAGCACTTTCTGAGTTTTCCAGTAGTGATCAGCACAGATCTGGTTATCTTGTACGTGAAGTGAATTTGGTGCTTTGAACCCTAGAGCAGAAAACTTCTGTTGTCATTGATATGTTAGTTTCTTGTGAGCCTTAAATTATTAAATATTGTAGATATACTTCTTTATAAATTTATTAGTTACCTTCCTGTTTCAGAATTTCTAAGTCATTCAGTCATGTGCTTACTGGCCTCACTCAAAAAAGTATGTGCAACTTTTCTTTTTCAGGTTTTTTTTTTTTGTGGTTTTACAGTTTTTTATCTTTGTTATATTGTTGAGACCTAAAGGAAAAAAATACACTCTTCTGCTGTTACTGGTTTAAATCTAGTGCACAACAAATCTAAAGTGATCTGAACAGATTTTCAAGTGCACAACAGATCAAAAACATGAGGGAGTGGATAGGCACAATGAGAAAGTAGAATACTGAGTGTAATATCTGCAGAACTGTTTTCGTTGTACTCCAGATTGCTTGAGCATGTGTATCAGTCACCTTTATGTATGCACACACCATTTGTGTACACAGTTCTCTGGTTTTAGTTCTCTCAGACTGGGAGTGGATGGCACTTCAGGAGTTGAACGTGGCGTGCTGTTCTGCTTCAACAACCGTCGTGTGGCTTTTCTCTTGGACACGGATGAAAAGCACCATCTTTTCATCAAAACACACCCCTGGTTTCTTGTATTTCCAAACAAAACCTTCTCAGTGCTGTGGATTTTACAGTTGGGGTGTTGAGAGACGAGTGACACCTTGCCTTCATCAGGATCACAGCTAACTCTGAAGACCGACAAAAAGTTGCTCTTTAGCTCAAAGAGTTTTCTTAAAATTTCTCTTGCAAAGGACATCTCTGTTTCCCCCTCCAACTTCTGTTGTATTGCTGAAGGATGGTCCATGCCTTTCCCACATCCTGTGGCACAGCAAGAGTAGCAGAGAAGAGAAGGCTTGATTGTCAACATTGCTCAAGGTTTGTTGCTAACAAATTTTCTAATATAAATAAGTGCTCAGTTGGGATTATAATTTATTCAAGTACCTCATCTATGTTCTGAGATAAATTGGGATCAGCTTTGCAGGGCAGCACTCTGACATTCTCTCCCCCAGACACAAATGCTGCTTTCCTGTCCCTGACCTTGCTCTTTAATGATAATGCCCAAATGCATGATGTTTTTTTCTCTCCTAGTCAGTAAAATAACTGTCAAGCAAGTCATACGTTTCATTAACAGAGTGCTCAGCCCAAAACCCAGGGCTGAGGGGAAAGAATTTGAATCTCATAACAGAGAACAGCATCTTTCACATTAATTTTAGAATTTTAGATGTCGGTTTCTTAGTTGGTTTGCTTGTTTAGCTAGATGTGGAATGAGGCTGTAATGTGCTTAGGAGCTGTCTAAAACAAGACTAACAGGAAAAGCATCCAGTGCAGCTGCACTACAGACTTGGGGAGATCTCCAGTTTGCCTTGGTGGGAGCTGTTGCACCAAAGGGAAGTGAAGAATCAGCTCTTTGGTGAGGCAGAATCTCAGATGAAACAAAGTGGTGTAACTCTGCTGCACGTGCTGAGACCTAGGTCACTGATGGACTTAGAGTAAGGCTTTTTGCTCAGACAAGTGCTTTGCTTTGCTCTTGGTGATCACATCCATCTGACTGGCCTGAATAAGCACCAAACAACTGCAGTGAGTCTTTCGGGATAGTTTTGAGGTGGTCTTTCTGAAACTACTACCCTTACCTGCCTGACCACCGGAGTTTGGTCTTCCAACTGTGTGTTATGTTGGATTGGGCTGTTGGCTCCTCGCAGGAGGGGCACTGTGTCCACACAGCCACTTGTTTGGAATCCTGTGTAAGGATTTTACGGTTCTGGATTACATCTCCAAAGTGCAGCAAGCTGATAAAGGTGAAATAGATCAGGGCTATGGGACATGGGTCAAGCTGATCTTGGTGACACAAAGGGAAGGCCTGGTTTTCCCCCTCCTTTTTTACTTTTCTTCCCACCTTGTGTCTTTTTGTTGCTTTCACTGAACCGGTTCTCTCCTCATGGAAGTAAGTGAACTCAAGTTCAAGTGCTGCCTTCTCTTCCTGTGGCTGCCTGAGCTCACTCATCTGATAGGAAATTAAATTCAGCCTTCTGTTTGAATATGCTGTGTTTTTCCATAACAAAACAACAGAACTTTCCAATAGAAAGAAAAGAAATCATTCTCAAAGTATGGTTAAAAAAATTTGCTTGGCTTGGGTTTCTAACATGTTAAGCACAGTTCAGGCAAATTTGGTATTGACACCTTTACAAATAAATACATGATTTCTATTGGCTTATAGGGCAGTAAAGGATTTGCTTTCTAATCACAGGTACTACTGCCAAGCACTGAGTAATGTGACCGGGAACATGGTCTGAACCCAGTTCAACAGAGCATTTAGCACAGACACATGCTTAAACCAACACAATTTTCAGCAGGTGTTTTAGATTCACTGATTTTTATGATTTGAGGTTTGAGATCCTGAGTTGGACTTGGATGTTCCTTGTGGTTCCCTTCTAGCTCCAGGTATTCTTTGATTCTCTGATGGTTATTTAAAGATAAGTTATAAACAGGACTGAAACCTTGAAGCCATGGATTCCCCTTGGCTTTTGGGGTAAATATGTGGGTACATGTTACAGTCACCTAATGTGCTGATGCAGATTTGTGCTGCAGAAGAGTATAAGAGAGAAATGAATCCCTCCAAGAAGGCTCCTGGAAATGTGAGACAGGAAGAGAGTTTTCTCTTCCAGGCCCATCACAAGAAGGAAATACAACCTAACCACTATTAATTTATGTTAACTGACCTGCAATGAACAGCAGGCTGAATCAGACCTCTTTGCCATATCAAAGGCATCAAGATGTCAGAACTTAATGAATAGCAGATCATGGCAGACATCAAAACCCCAAACAAACCCAGCCAAACAACAAACCAACACTGTTTTGTAAACTCTTTTGGCTAGGAGCTGCAAAAGAAAAGCTCCCTCACCCCACACATGCTGTAGTTATTAATGGCTTGTCCTCTCATGTGGGACACTGTGCACTAAAATGCGTTCTTGGGAGTGCTGAAGTGAATGTTCTTTTGGGTCACCAGTAATGTAAGTTTAATTTGCTTAGCCTGACCCCAAGGTTTTTCCCTTTTACTTTTCCATCATCCTAAGAAACGATAAAATAGTACCAAGCAGTTATATAACACCATTCATCTCCCGGCGCTCTATGAACAATTGCACCATGCTCTGTGGCGCAGGGTAAAGAAAGGGATGGGGAGGGGAAGTCCAAACCTTTCAAAGGGGGACAGGGCTCAGAGAGGCACAAGTAGGAGTGGGTTTCACTGGACTGAGAGGTCTAAAATGTGGATCTCAGGGAAGAGAGATTCCCCCTGTGGTCTCTTGCATGACTCTGGGTGGCTCTGCAGGCAAGGACTGGATGCCAGCAGCTGTGCACCATGATCCATCTGGTGGGGTCACTGCACACAGAGGGGACTTTATGCTGCTCTGAGCAGCACAAACAAATCCCTCTTTTGTGTGCTCTTTTCATTTGGGCTCTGTAAGGAGAACATGGCACTCCTGCTGGCTGTTCCCTGGCCTCTCCAGCTGCAGACACTGCTGGTCTGGTGGAGGTACTGAGACATTCTCCAGGCACTGCCCTTCACCTCCTGTTAAGGAGCAAAGCACATGTCAGAGCATTCTCAGAGGGTGACACTTGCGTGCACATAAAGGCTGGCTCTTCTGAAACCTATCCCAGAATCACTGAGGTTGGAAAAGACCTCAAAGGTCAGTAAGTCCGACCTGTGTCAGATCACCACTTTGTCAACTGAACCAGAGCACTGAGTGCCATGTCCAGTTGCTTCTTGAATGCCTTTGAGTGACTCCACCACCTCCCTGGGCAGCTCATTCCAATGCCTGACAACCTTTTCTGTGAAGAAATTCTTCTTCCTGGTCAGTGTTAGAGAAGCTGGTGCTGAGGTCAAATGAGGAGAGCATTTAGTGGCATGTGACAGTGCCACTGAGCTGTGGTGAGGGACGAGATGCCTTGATGACATCTGATCCAGCCATTTAGCAAGATGCCATGAACAGGAGTGGAATTTGGCAGGGGCCTCAGGGTGGTTGCTGCCATATTTAGGGAATGACAGAAGGAGGGCTTTAAGCACCTCATCAAGACTTTGGCCTTGCCACTTGGCTGTGGGATCGGGATTGGAATGTTGTGTGGCAGGCAGGGTGTGGGGGAAGGCTCAGGAATAATGAGGCTGATTCCCCTGAGGACAGAGGGGCAGCAGGGAAACAGGGAGATGAAGCTCTAAGAGCATCTGCCTGCCTTTGGTTCAGCTTTAGCCATGTCACTAAATGACTACCAGCCTCACTCCACAGCTACAAATGTCCAAAAAATGAAATAGAAAAGGTCTTTATAATAATCTAACCTATGACCAATTAAAATAATTGTTCCAAAATTATTCTGCCATGACTTTTGCTATATGCAGCACTACTAAATATTTTTTTAGATTGTGCCATTTAGTCTTTTCACAGGTTCTGTAATGTTTGGTTTTTGGTTGCTTTGTTTGAAGTTTGCTTGTTTTGGTTGTTTTTTGTTTTTTGTTTTTTTTTACTTTCTTTCTGTATGCATTAACTGGTCCCTAGTTCTTCTGATCAGCTTGTTAAAGTTCTGTTTCTCTGACCTAAATTTGGGACCTCAGGGTGCTGGCACCCTATAGTGGACCTCGGTCATGCCACCTGACATCAGTGTGTCAGCTCATTATACCGAATTTCTCCAGTAACTCTGTGGGCCCATTGACCAGAACATACCTAATATTTGTATGATGAAATATTGTGAAAAATGTGGTTATAGTAGCCATTGAGATAATGTGAAATAAAAACTTTTATGTTAATTGGAATAGGAAAAAAATAAAGCTGATAAGGAATTAATTGGAATTAGAAGTTTTGAAGAGAAATATCAACTTATTTAAAGAAAAAGAAGGCTTTAGACAGACAGAAAGTAGGTTTAGATTGGATATTAGGCAGAATTTTTTCCCTATGAGGGTGGTGAGACCCTGGCACAGGTTGCCCAGAGAAGCTGTGGATGCCCCAGAAATTACCTGATCTAATAGAAGGCAACAAAGTGTTTTCATTAAAGCTTAGGCTTCCTAGCTCACAGTCTTTATGGTTACTGCAGAATTAATAATTTTCCAGATAGAATTTAAAATTTACCAAAGTCAACTGCAAGTTGTCTTCTCTATAAATAATTCACAGTCATTAGGGGGATATTTCCAAATAAATCAGTTTTAACACTTGATTGACAGAAAGAAGAGAAAAAAGAAAGATATATCTTATTTCTGTGCTTCAATTTTGGTGTGCCCTGGAGATTGTAATTTGCAATATTCTGGAAAACAGCTGTGACTGTCTTAAAATTGACATTGGAAAGAATGTTGCTGGAGAATCACCTTGGATGAAAACAGGTAATAATTTCCCTCTCAAGACAGTGGTTGACTGACCTTCTCCCGTCTTCTGATAAAGCCAGTTTGGACATAAATGTTGAAATATAAGGTCTCTTCTCTTAAATCTCATGTCCAACCCTGGCCAGGAATGGTGGTTTCCTCACTCCTGTGGGTGAGGAATGCAATGGAACCTTGCAGCTCTTCTCATGACAGTACAGCTGCATAATAAATACTCATGTCAGGGTTGATGTTTCCATGAAGATGCTGGAGGAAAAGATGGGATTTAAATGGACTACATTGGTCTGAGAGTGTAATATGTACAAGGAGCAGGTAAAATTTCTTCCTTTGCATGATTTCACTCCAGTGATGGTGTCCTAGCACACAGTAATCCCCCTACAAAATATCACAAAATCCATACCAGGGCTTGCTTTGCTCTCTTCAGTCAGTAGAGATTGGTTACATTATACCATACTTAATGCTCTCAAGCAAGTTCAACACATTTAAAAATTCTTCCTCTTCCTCCTCCCTGCTTAAGTATAGGTAGAAATGCCTGTGTTTGGAAAGGTGAAAAATTATTTGAATTATTTAAGCGACATAAACTTATAATTCTTTTTTCTGTCTTGTTTAAAATTATTTGAAAATCTAATGGGGTGTGATTGAATGCGATTCATTTAACAGGAATTTGCAGAGCAAATTGTATGAGTTTCTCAGTTCAGAAAACAGTAATTTTCAAGGCAGTGCTGCACAAGGGGGCTATTGTGAAAATACATGGTGTTTTATTATGCAAGGGAATGGTGCAAAGAGAAGCAGGGAGTCTGGAAGGTGACAAAGCTTGTTCTGGGAAGGAATGCCCTCTAGTTTAAGCTTAGCCTCTGTGCTCTGAAGGAGAGAGCGTTCCTTTAGCCACAGAGGAAGCAAAAGGAATAGCAGGAATCCACAGCTGAGCTATACAAACATTTGACTGGCTCCCACAGTTGTCTCTGGGGGAGAGATTTCAGCCACTGGGCAAAATACCTGCACAGTATCTCTCAGGATCATGTTTTAAAAGTCTGCCCAGTTCATTGAAAGGATACAGGTACCTGCCTTCAGGAGAATGTGCTGAAGTGTGGATCTAAGGCAGGCACTGGCATCTTCCTGCAGGCCTGGCAGAGTAAATTCCAGCGACCAACAAAATTTGGGTCAGATTCCCACTTGTCTCCCAGAGTATCTCCATCTCAGTGATACATCCATACAATGGAGCAGAGTCTGAGAAGTGCAGAATTCTGGAGCACGAGAGAGAAGTCTCTCTGGAAAGCTTGGAAACGCTGGGTATTTCAAAATAGCATTTGCACTGCTTCTTGCTAGTGGAAAATGGAGTAGCTCTGTTCTTAAAAAGGAAGCTGGATATTCCACTGAGGGGGAGATACAAATTCTCATAGACATCCTGACTGCATCTATATTAGAAAACGAAATGTGCCCAGGACCATTCCCTGGCACTGAGGCCAGCTGGCAGGAGACAGGCTGAGCTCCTGCTGCCAGAGGCTCGCTCTGAAACAAGGTGTTCGGCACTCAGCCTGCTGGGCTCCCTTCCTGACCTCTGCTCATGCCCACATCGTGCCTAGGAAGTATAAGTCTGTACCCAAGCACTACCCAAGAGAGTGCTTGGGTACAGACTTACCAGCATGGCCAGGAGCCTTGAAGTGTAGTTGATTGTGATTAATTGCTTGGGAACATTCCCTCAAACTCTGGAGGTGGCAGGTGTAAATACAGCCCTGCTTTGATGCCTCTTGCCCTCAGGTAATTTTTGGGGTATCTTAAAAGCTTTACACATTTCGCCCTATTGGCACATTCTTAAACAATAATCAGTCTCTATTTGCTGAGAACAGCTATTCCTGCCAAAATCTTTTCTCATCTAATTCTGCTTCCACCTGCACTCGTCTATATGCAACTTTAACTAAAAATCACCACACTATTCCAGACGCACACAGAGGAGCACAAGTGGATCTGACAGTGGGAATGGGATACTGTTGCTTTGGTTTTTGGCGGATTTTCCTGTTTGCCTGGCCCTAGTGTAGGCTGCATCTTGTTTTTCGGTCACTGCATCTTCTAACTCTGCTTAGCATTCCAGTTGAGGCCCTGGTGGCCATGCATATCCCCTGGTCTTGCTGTCCAGCAGGGTGCATCGCAAAATTACTGGAAATTAAACAAACAAACAAACAAACAAACAAAAAAGGGTGGGGACACTCTGCATTCTAGTGCTGAAGAAACCAAGGACCACCCAGCACAGGCAGAAAGTGGGCCAGCATTAGAATTCTTCTATGGCTTCAAGGTGAGCCTACATGCCAGTGGTCCCCAGAGAATGAAACATGAGTCTAATACAGTCAGAGGGAGAAGAAAAAGCAAAGTTCCTACTTCCTTCTGCTAAAGTAGAAATAAACTTCCATTTAAAATCTTTCCTATATTCTTGGGTCTTGACAGCTCTAACTACAATAGTTTAAGATGTCAGTGCTGTCAACCACCCTAAGAAGATGTTGAGAAGTAAATCAGTCTGAAGGGACCACTAAGGACAAGTGAACCTATTGATGGGATTTTTCCTTCAGCAGATATGTGGGCACATGGTTTAGTGTGGGTGTGATATAGAAAAGACCAAGAGAATGTGGTGGTTGGAATGCTGAGGTACACCACCTAGAAAAAGTGATGGAACTTTTTGTGCCAGGGAATCACTCCTTGAGGTCTGTTTCATCAAGTAAGGCTGAAAACTCTGTTTATTGTATTTATGTGTTAATATTTAGAGACAGGACACATAGTGAAAATGTGTATGTAGAAAACATGAAGATTTGCAAGAAAGCAAAAGTGTAATTCGGATGCCAAGCGCATCCTGGAGGCAAGCAGATGCAATCATCATCAGAGCCAGTAAAGAGAGGAGGGCTTTCTAGTTATTTCCCAGAAGTACAGCAGTTGCAAAGCCATTTTTGCAGAATTCATCAAAACTTTTATTTGAAATATCTCAGAAGCACACCCTGCACTCTGTTCACTCTGTAGCTGCAGATTAGTCCTACTGAAGGCAACTGGATTCCATTCCAGGAATCCTGCTCAGATAGACTTGAGCTCTGCAGTCACATCCTTTGTTTTCCTTGACTCCTGACAGCCCAAATTAAACAGAGATCTCTCTTAGCAGTGAGGGAATGCTGACGGCATTCCACCGTGCTGTGGGCACAGTGTGGAAACAATATCACTTCTTGCCTGGCCTCAGTGTGGCCAAATGGCAGCATGATGTCCTGGCTACATTCGTCCCTCAGGCAAGGCAGGTGATGCTGGGGAGGGGTGTGAAGGGTCCAAATTTGGAAGAGAAAATAATCAGAGACTGATGACTGGAACAAAATGCTCAAGCCAAAATGCTTTCTCCCTAGGGAAGCTCTCCCACAGCCAGATGCAGTGTTGTTTAGCAGTCTGGATTTCATTCCAGGACTGCACGTGGCTCTTAAGGTCCTGCCTGAGACTTTTTTTGTCTGATGTTGGGTAGCAAACCCAAATAAACAGGAAGTCAGGCCTGAACAGGAATATCACATATCATCCACTTCTCATCCCTGTAAAATCCATCCCCATTCCCTTGTCTGATTTTCTAATTGAATC